ACAGACCAGCTGGAGTCTTTTGACTTATAAACTGACTTACATAGTCTGGGCTATGGCATGAAAGAAATGGTTATAGAAGCCTACTTAAACTTGTAATTTAAAAAACGCTTCATCAATTTAAGTCCTTGAGAAGAGAATAAAAGGCTGAGGATTGAGTAAAGCCTGTCCTCAGACAAGTATATGAGGACTCATTTATGCCCCCTGCACACTTGAAGTAATTGCTCAAGGATACATCTGACAGAAAATTCACTGACCAGCTGGCATTCAAGTGAAAGTACCCTAAATGATCACAGATTATATATTGTTCATTGTCGCTCCACCTCTTGCCTAAATCTATGCTCCTAAAATGTATGATATGTGAAAAATAAAAAGTCGGAAACTAATGCTGTTCTTGTGAACCAATGTTGTGGGTCCTTGGGGGAAGAGAAACTTTTGTAACCTTCCTTTTTCAAGTTTTCCTGTAAAACCACAAGCTCCAGCATTTTGGAGAATTGATTACAATTTGATTGATTATAGTTTTACTTCAGGTTGACAGGTGTTAAAGCACCCAGGAACTAGCAAACCGTCATCACCCTTAAGATTGAAGGGAAAGGGGAGAAAATGTCTTATTTGAGCCTGGAGAGAACTGGAACCCCATCTGAGGAGCTCCAGCTGCAGAGGGCCACTGCAGCAGCCAGGTGGCGCTGACACAGGAAGATACAAACTCACCTCTTGCTCCCTTATCTTCTGCTGGTTACTTCTGCTGACTAAACACAATTAGAAACTTAAGGGCAAGTCTGAGTGATGTCATCGTGTCAATCCCTGGGGATGTAGGAAAATTATGATGTAGGAAGCTGGTGTGTGTGGGCCTAATACCGAATGTAGGAACAGCAGAGAACCTGATTTTTTTTGTCTCACGCTCACAAAGAATTTGAGACACGGACACAGAGAAGAATAGTAAAGTGAAGAGCTTATCAAGAGAGGAAAGGAAGATCAGAGCTCAGGCAGGGAGTGGGTTTTGGAAAATAGATTGTCAATAAACTGTTGAGGCAAGGGTTTTGTTTTATTTTTTATCTGGGTCGGAGGGGCTTTGTACAGGCTTCTTGGTCTTATTTAGGCTTGTTCAGTCTCTGAGAAGCTGACCTTACTGGAGAGGAAAGAAGCAGCTTGTAGAAAGACTGGCTATCAGGGACCAGCAATTAGCATAATGGCTATGTTGCTGAACTCCCATGTATTCGACTACGGTTCGAGTCCTGGACCCGGTGGCTTAAACTCAAAACGAGTGTGTATGCGCGTGTGTGCCCAAGATCCTGAGAGGAAAACGGAGAAGGGATTGTGGTGTGGCCATCCCCCCTGGAGGGTGATTTCTCACGTTCTGTCTCTCTGTCTCTATCTCTCTGGCAAGCGCCCATGCCCTGTAGCCAAAACCTCTTCAAAAACAAACAAACAAAAAGACTGGCTATCATATTGACAAGCTTAGTGTTGTTTTGTCGTCTGTGGGGATTGTGGTTATAGAATGGGGGAGCTAAGCGGTGTTGGGTAAGATCCTCATGTTTTAGGTCTAATTTTATTTATTTATTTATTTATTTTTGGAGAGGTTTTCGCTACAGGGTGCGTGCGCTCGCCAGACAGACAGAGAGACATAGAGACAGAAAGCGAGAAATCACCCCCCAGGGGGATGGTCATGCCGCAATCCCTTCTCCTCCATTCTCCTCTCGGGATCTTGGGCACGCACGCACACGCACACGCGCCCGGCATGAGTTTTAAGCCACCAGGTCCGGGACGTGAACCACGGTCGACTACGTGGGAATCCAGCGACATAGCCATTACGCTAACTGCTGGTTCCCTAGGTCTAATTTCAGAGACCTACCCTGAGACACAGAATGAAAAACCACAAACACTGAAAAAGTAGGAAAAGAGAAGATTTAATAGAAAAATAAAGATTTTTAATAGGAAGGAAATACACCCACATGCCTTTCAGGCACGAGCAGTTGTCAGAGAAAGACAACTGTATTAGCCATGAGGTTAGGTGTTAATTTTATTTTGAGGGCTGATAATGAATATTTAGCAAGGGAAGGTCTGTCCTAGTATCTGGCCTCTTTGGTTTTGTGGGCTTTTTCCTGCGTTTGTGCATTTCTCTCAGGTGAGAAATTTATCTAATCATGCATGTCCAGGGAGGTCTTTGAAGGAATGAACATCCCTGTATGGATGCATTGTCCAGTTAGTTTATTGTTGAGTGGGAATCAGGATGTTGACTTAGTGTCCCATCCCAGTGGTGAATTTTCCTGGGTGTATCTGGAGTGGTAGGAAGGAAGATAACCACCTTTCTGGTGTCAAGAGCCAGGTGAGAGGAAGGGGGTTTGAAGAGGGTCTGGTGGTATTTTCTGACAGGTTGTGATTGATCAAACAAGCTGTAAAGGAGCTCTGGTTTTAAGAAGCTCTCTGGGCAAGCAAGAAGTCAGAGCTAATACTTGATCTCTAGTGAGAGCAGTGAATGACTCTTCTCACAAGCTTGACCAGGGTAACTGCATTTTATAAGCTGGCTCTATCTTAATACATATGTTTAATAGTGACCCTTCTTTGAAGGGTCCCTGTCCTATTTACCTACTCATTGGGTCTAATTCCTGTCTCACTGGGAAAGGGAGAAGGATAGTGAATGAATGCAGGGAGAGAGGAGAGAACTTACCAACATCCATGCTTGCCTTTCCCCCAAATACCCTCTACACTACAAAGGTCTGGAGAGTATATATTTCAGGAACGCAACTACTCAGTTGTGCAGGTGTAGCACGAAAGCAGCCACGAATAATACATAAACACCTGAGTATGACAGCATTCCAACAATACTTTATTTATGATGAAATATTGTTTTTGATTCTTTTAAAAACTACTTTAAAACATGAAACTGAGGTAGGATTCATGGCCTAGTGGTTAAGGGAGCCAGATCACACATGGCTAACCATGGTTCAAGTCTTAGCTCTGGTTGCTTGAAAAACACGCTGGGTTTGTATGGATGGTATACAGAAAATCCCAACAGGATAGAAAGATGGAGGAGAAGGGATTGCAATGTGACCGTGCCTTATTGGGGCCTGCTTTCTCCCTCTCTCACTGTGTCTCTGTTTTCATCTGGTGGCCACATATGCCCTCTGGCAAAAAAAAATTGTAAAACTGTTTAAAGGCTGTACAAAAAACTTAGGGCCAGACAGGAGTTGTTCAGGGCTGCGGACTCCTGCTCTATTTTTTTGTTTGTTTGTTTGTTTGGAGAAGTTTTTGCTATAGGGCGCGTGCGCTCCCCAGACAGACAGAGAGAGACAGACAGAGAGAAAGCGAGAAATCACCCCCCAGGGGGGATGACCACGCCGCAGTCCCTTCTCCTCCATTCTCCTCTTGGGATCTTGGGCATGCACGCACACACGCCCTGCATGAGTTTTAAGCCACCGGGTTTGGGACGCGAACCGCGGTCGACTACGTGGGAGTCCAGCGACATAGCCATTACGCTAACTGCTGGTCCCGCGAACTCCTGCTCTATACAGCAGCCAGCGATCTTAGTGAAACACCAGTCAGTTCTTGGTGCCCCCAGTTGAACTTTACACATTCCCATTGACCTTAGGATAATCACCTAAATCCTCACTGTGTCCTCTAAGGTCTACAGAGTCTGACTCCTGCAGACATTTCCATCCCCACTCTCTGTCCTTTAACTACAAGAGCTCCTTTGGGTCCCTCCAACTTAACATCATGCTATCTCCACATGTTTAGAAGACTTCTGTTTCCATGCCATCTAGTTCATTTACAGATCTCAGCCCACTGTAGCATTGTAATAGCACACGACAAACAAAAGAAAAAAAGGGGGCATAAAAACTGCAAACAGGAGGAAAATGGACAATGGCACACAAGGCAGCCATTTTACAACTGCAGATTAATGAGGAACAACATCAATGAGCTGTCAAGACACAGGATACAGTAATACTGCACTGTACTGCTATAAGATATTTATATGTAAACACACAGATGGAAAAAGTCTGAAAGAGAATGCATCAAATTGTTGTGTGGTAACCCCTGAGCTGTCAGGTTATGGGTGATGTTTTTTTTTTTTTTTAAATTTATGCTTTCCAAAATTAACATGTACTAATTAAGAAAAGCTGATGTTTCAAAATACCAAATTAACTAAGAACAAAACTAGAATCTCAGGTGAATATGTTAAACACATATGAGTGGGACAGGGAAAGGAGAGATTTTCACAGTCTAACTCAGAACCAAATTTACCAAATGCACACTTGATTTCCTAAAAGCCCTCTGTAACAGTGTTTAATGTATTGGCGGATACATTTTAGTTCCTGGGCTTTAATATTAATTGTAAGACTTTTTACAAGTTAGCTCTTTTTCCCCATTAAACAAAAATCAACTATTTAATTTATTCCCAACTAGATTTAAAATACTAACCCCAAACGTAATACCTTAAGTACCAATGACTAATTCCTATTAAAATTAGAGCAGTAGGTCAATAGTAAGCACTCTGCGGCTCCTTATCAACACATACCTAGACACAAAAGACAATTTATGGAAATAAAATGGAAATCCCAACTAATGACCACCGTTCTGAGATCAGTGACCACCATGAATAATTTTGATATTGCTGTTTGATTTTTATTGACTATCAAGAATAAAATTATTCAAAAACACACACAAAACTCCAAACTAAAAGAGCTAAATCTCAAAGAGAAGAGGCTAACACAATTCCTTCTGAAACCTATGCGTCCAGACCTCAGTCCCTTACTCTGGCCTCAGCGGGTCCTAGACCCCTCATTCACAGCTGAAGAAAGGCAGCCGTACTCCACCTTCAAGGCCCTGAGACCGGACCCTGAACTCCGGTCTTCCAGGTGTTCAGCGCCTCGGCTCTTCGCCCCACCCCTCCCAGTCTGGCCCCGCCCCCGGGGCGGCCCCGCCCCGTAATGGCCCCGCCCAGCTCGCCATCGGTTGGCTTCTCCCAAATGTGACGAGCGGGGGCGCGGGGAGGGGCCTGTTGCGCAAGCCCAGTTCTCAGGACCTTAGCGGAAGAAAGGCTGGGGAGGGGCACCCGAGACGATGAAGCGGGGCGTTCGACGGACTCCTTTCCGGAAGCGGAAGCTTAGTGGGCGGGCCAAGGGGGGCCGGGAGCTCACGGCGGTTAATTCTATTTACCGTGCGGCTTCGCTTCCCTACGTCTACGCTCTGAGGCGGCGAGAGATGGTCAGGTCTGGATCTCGACCGGGCCAGGTGAGGGCTGCGGGCCTGAGGAGCCTTCCGTGGGGTGGGTAGGGACTGAGGGGGTTCCCGGCCCGAGGAATGTGTGAAAGTCTCCTCGCAAAAAAAAATAAAGACAAAGAATGCGGCGACATTCGTTTAACTACAAGAGCTCCTTTGGGTCCCTCCAACTTAACATCATGCTATCTCCACATGTTTAGAAGACTTCTGTTTCCATGCCATCTAGTTCATTTACAGATCTCAGCCCACTGTAGCATTGTAATAGCACACGACAAACAAAAGAAAAAAAGGGGGCATAAAAACTGCAAACAGGAGGAAAATGGACAATGGCACACAAGGCAGCCATTTTACAACTGCAGATTAATGAGGAACAACATCAATGAGCTGTCAAGACACAGGATACAGTAATACTGCACTGTACTGCTATAAGATATTTATATGTAAACACACAGATGGAAAAAGTCTGAAAGAGAATGCATCAAATTGTTGTGTGGTAACCCCTGAGCTGTCAGGTTATGGGTGATGTTTTTTTTTTTTTTTAAATTTATGCTTTCCAAAATTAACATGTACTAATTAAGAAAAGCTGATGTTTCAAAATACCAAATTAACTAAGAACAAAACTAGAATCTCAGGTGAATATGTTAAACACATATGAGTGGGACAGGGAAAGGAGAGATTTTCACAGTCTAACTCAGAACCAAATTTACCAAATGCACACTTGATTTCCTAAAAGCCCTCTGTAACAGTGTTTAATGTATTGGCGGATACATTTTAGTTCCTGGGCTTTAATATTAATTGTAAGACTTTTTACAAGTTAGCTCTTTTTCCCCATTAAACAAAAATCAACTATTTAATTTATTCCCAACTAGATTTAAAATACTAACCCCAAACGTAATACCTTAAGTACCAATGACTAATTCCTATTAAAATTAGAGCAGTAGGTCAATAGTAAGCACTCTGCGGCTCCTTATCAACACATACCTAGACACAAAAGACAATTTATGGAAATAAAATGGAAATCCCAACTAATGACCACCGTTCTGAGATCAGTGACCACCATGAATAATTTTGATATTGCTGTTTGATTTTTATTGACTATCAAGAATAAAATTATTCAAAAACACACACAAAACTCCAAACTAAAAGAGCTAAATCTCAAAGAGAAGAGGCTAACACAATTCCTTCTGAAACCTATGCGTCCAGACCTCAGTCCCTTACTCTGGCCTCAGCGGGTCCTAGACCCCTCATTCACAGCTGAAGAAAGGCAGCCGTACTCCACCTTCAAGGCCCTGAGACCGGACCCTGAACTCCGGTCTTCCAGGTGTTCAGCGCCTCGGCTCTTCGCCCCACCCCTCCCAGTCTGGCCCCGCCCCCGGGGCGGCCCCGCCCCGTAATGGCCCCGCCCAGCTCGCCATCGGTTGGCTTCTCCCAAATGTGACGAGCGGGGGCGCGGGGAGGGGCCTGTTGCGCAAGCCCAGTTCTCAGGACCTTAGCGGAAGAAAGGCTGGGGAGGGGCACCCGAGACGATGAAGCGGGGCGTTCGACGGACTCCTTTCCGGAAGCGGAAGCTTAGTGGGCGGGCCAAGGGGGGCCGGGAGCTCACGGCGGTTAATTCTATTTACCGTGCGGCTTCGCTTCCCTACGTCTACGCTCTGAGGCGGCGAGAGATGGTCAGGTCTGGATCTCGACCGGGCCAGGTGAGGGCTGCGGGCCTGAGGAGCCTTCCGTGGGGTGGGTAGGGACTCAAGATGTTCCCGGCCCGAGGAATGTGTGAAAGTCTCCTCGCAAAAAAAAATAAAGACAAAGAATGCGGCGACATTCGAAATACTGGGCCAGAAAAGCGGGGCGGACAGGACATTTAATCCTTCCATCCTCACACAGCCGCTCTGCCCGTAGCTGTATATTCTGTTTAAATCGCCCGGTAGAGCTCTGGCTTCGATGTTAGGCCCGGGTTCGAGTCCAGCCTTGGCCGCTGGTCGAACGATTTAAGATCGCTTAGCTTCAGTACCTTGTTGCGTCAAATTCAGCTCCTCCGCTCTTCTACCAGTGCCGCTGTTGGCTGGTTTTCCGTCAGGGTTGCTGGTATATACTGGTATATAGGTTTTTTTCTTTGGAGAGATTTTTCACTGTAGGGCGCGTGCGCTCGCCAGACAGACAGAGAGAGACATAGAGACAGAAAGCGAGAAATCACCCCCCAGGGGGGATGGTCACGCCGCAATCCCTTCTCCTCCATTCTCCTCTCGGGATCTTGGGCATGCACGCACACGCGCCCGGCGTGAGTTTTAAGCCACCGGGTCCGAGACACGAACCGCGGTCGACTATGTGGGAGTCCAGCGACATAGCCATTACGCTAACTGCTGGTTCCCTGGTATATATTTTTTTAAAGTCTCCCAGCGTCTCTGTCTTTCTCGTTGCCCCTCTCAAATGCACGTCCCACTTTGTAACTACTAGATGATTCTGCCTAAAACCAGACATGAGAGCAGGTGTTCTTCAGGGTAAATCCCATTTTTTGGCCTCGCAACAGCTTTTTTTCTTCTTTTCTTAAAATCCTTTTTAGCCACGGGAACCAGCAGTTAGCGTAATGGCCATGTCGCTGGACTCCCACATAGTTGACCGCGGTTCGTGTCCGACCCGGTGGCATAAAACTCATGCCGGGCACGTGTGCGTGCGTGCCCAAGATCCCAAGAGGAGAATGGAGGAGAAAGGATTGTGGCATGGCCATCCCCGCTGGGGGGTGATTACTCGCTTTCTGTCTCTATGTCTCTGTCTGTCTGGTGAGCGCTCGCGCCCTATAGAGAAAATATCTCCAAAAAAAAAAATCCTTTTTAGCCTCTCCCTTCTTCCAGTTACGTCCAGCGCTCTTTACCTGCTTCTTGTGCAGTGCCCTGGTTGCACCATGCCTCTCATGCTTCCGTACCTTGGGCTTTCTGTTCTGCCTAGAATGCGCTTCTATGCCTGTTATTGCCATTTTGTGTCTCCTGTTCTGCAGCTCAAGGGCCGTTTACAACTTTATTGGTTGTATGCTCCTGAACCGTCCCTTTTGAACCTTGTAATCAACCTAAACCACTTTTCAGGCTAGAGACATTGCTAATATATCTATTTTTGCTACCTAACTATTTTATGTCTATTCGCGCCCTAGGATAGCACCTGGCATACAGTAGATTTTCAGGTAATGAATCATCTAGTTTTCACACTTATCCCATTTAGAGTGATCTTTTTTCCTCATTATATAAGTGCAGCTCTTTGTTTCTTTTGTCCTCTTACATTTATCAACACACCTATATTTTTGTCTTCCCCATTAGTGTGAATATTAAATTTTTTTCGGTTCCCTGCTAGTGATTTTCTTTTCTCCATTTTCTTGGTATTTGGGACAGCCACACACATGCACTCAGCATGAATTTCAAGCTGCTGGGTCTGGAACTCGAACTGCAGTTAGCCATCTGGGAGTCAAATTCCTTAACCACCATGTCACCTGCTGGTCCCATTATCATTTTATAAAAGGAAATTAAGGGATGGAAAGTTCAGATAATTTCCTGAAGTTATGCAGCCGGTTAGCTACATAAATGGGGTGTAGACTCATAGCTGGTGCCAGAGTTTGTTCTTTTAAACATTACCCTAAACTTAACAGAGATAATGACTTTGAACAAGCCTTCTTTCTGAAGTTTTGATCCTCATTGCACAAAAGTAATGACAGTAGAATGTGGATTAAATAGAAACAAAAGGCTTCAGTAAACATTAAATCATTCTGTAAAAGTAGTAGTATCTTGTATTTTATGTTAAGAGGTATGATTACTAAAGAAATATCTGGGACCACAGATGGTGAAATGGTTACATTGCTGAACTTCCGTTTCACGCCAGGTGCTTGTGCATGTGTGCCCAAAATTCCAAGAAGAGAATGGAGAAGTGATTGCAAAGCAGCATTGCCATCCCTCCTGGGGGGTGATTTCTTGCTTTCTGTCTCTCTGATGAGCACACGTACCCTTGTAGCAAAAATCTCTCAAAAAAAGAAAAAGAAAGAAATACTCTTCTCAAATAGAAAAATTAAAAGTTTTTTTTTTTTTTGAGAGGTTTTTGCTATAGGGTGCGTGCGCTTGCCAGACAGAGAGAGACAGAAAGACAGAAAGTGAGAAATCACCCCCCAGGGGGATGGCCACGCCTCAATCCCTTCTCCATTCTCCTCTCGGGATCTTGGGCACGCACGCACATGCGCCCAGTGTGTGTTTAAGCCACCGGGTCCGGTACTCGAACCACGGTCGACTAAGTGGGAGTCTAGCGACATTGCCATTACGCTAACTGCTGGTCCCAAAGTTTTTTCTTTTTAAGAGCGTTTTTGCTATAGATCACACGTACTCACCTGAGAAACAGAAAGTGAAAAATTATCCCTTGTTGTGGGGAGGGAATGGCCATGCCACAACCTTCTCCGTTCTCTTCTCCAGATCTTGGGCATACACGTACATGCACCTGGCATGAGTTTTAAGCCACCAGGTCTGGAACTCAATCTGTGGTCAACTGTGTAGGAGTTCAGTGGTGTAACCATTACAGTCATCTGCTGGCCCCACAGAATTAAAAGTTTAATGAGAATACCTAGTAGAAGGTGTGAGCTAAAACAAACTTGATTCTTAAATTGTGATTTGGGGCACTCCTTTTAGAGAGCAGTTTTGAAGTTTGTATCAAGAGCCGTTAAACTGCTAAAAACCTTTCACATACTTTTGATCCTAAATATGAAAAGGCTATTTTCAGTACTGTATACAAAACAGTTTATTCTAAGTTTTGTTTTTTAAAGAATTATTTAATTTTATTTACTTATTACTGTTCTTTAGTTTGACTAGAGAGAGAGAAAGAAAATGAGAGTGAGAAAGCAAGCCGCCAGGTCCAGGACTCAATCCAGAGTTGGCCATGTGGAGTCCAGCACCCCAGATACTACGCCACCTGCTGGCCCCCTAAGTTTGTTTCTCTAATTGTGAAAAATGTGAACCAAATCAAAGGCATATTTTATTACTTAGTCACAAGGA